TCCTGCTGAGGTTACCTTTCTGTATCAGGGATGCAGTTGCCTACAAAGAAGCTGCTGAGGGCAGAAAGAGTTATTCTGGAGTGTTCAGTAATTTCAAAATAAGTAAAGATGTCTCTTGAGTGAAGTCAGAGGTTTTGGGGGGGGGCCTTTTCTCAGTTACTAGACATTTAGTCAGACAGTTGTATCATATTTAACATTTCAGGAGTTTAGTCCAGTGATTAAAAGCAGACAAGCAACACATAATCAGTAAATAAAATATTGGTTTTGGATACTTATTTAGTGGATATTGGCAAAAATAATTTCCTGACACTTTTTGGTGAATCCATTTCCTGTGTGGTATTGTGCACAATTTAATTCACCACATTAGAAAAGCAAGAAATGGCTTCATCAGCCTCCTGTACATGTACCTATTCAGAAACATCATTTTCAAAGTAGTTTCATTTTACATTTTCATGTCACTCCTAAATTTAAAAAAGGAATAAACTGATAAAAAACATTGCTGTCTATGTAGCTCATGAGTACTCAAATGAAAATGTGTTGCTAAAAACTGTTTATCATCGTTGGGCTGTTTCTCCTATCACTGTACGTTGCTGTATGCCATTCTATACCCTCTGGCTTTTCCTTCCCCAACTGACTCCTGGGCCAAAAGCTTATTGATTCTGAAGCCAAAGAAATCGCTTTTCAAAATGCCTGGTACTGCAAGCCACATGTTGTGCAGGTATGATAGAGTTCATAGAGAATACACAAAACATCAAAAGTTTTAAAATAAAGATGTAAAACTTACTTATAAATTGCTTTCCATTGTTTCTTCGAAGTTAAATAGCAGTTGGGATCATCAAAAAGGAATCAGAGCTCTGATGAGCGAGACACGAAACAACCTATTGAGATGCAGTTTTCAGATTATGAGAAGACACAAACAAACAGATGACAAGCATACTTATCTTAGTGGCTGGGTAGCAAGTTGAGCATGTTTTATATAAACTAGTATTTTTTGTGTTTATAAACATCACTAACTAATATTTGCAAGTGATTATATGTAGGCATAGTAGTAGAGGTAAGCTTTAACTGTACCTGCTTTTAAATTTGTATATCATGATCTGATATAGGGACAACACATGATACAAATCCATTTCTACTCCAGTGCTACTAACTAATATCATTTGTCCTAAAGTTTGAGTGGTAAAGACCATAGCTGTCAGTAATTAGAATTTACCTTTACTTTTTTTCCTCTAAACTATTCAAAACCTAGGAAATTATATATAGCAGAAAAGCTTATACAAGGAACTTACATTATTGTGAAGCCATATACTTGAAAAGTAGGAAATAATAGACAGTTGACATTGTAGGCTTCATGAGTTCTCTTACTCGTCATCTTAAATTGCATGTGATCAAATTGAGGGATGGATGTGAAATGGAAAAAGAGTAGAGGAAATTTATATTAGATATAAGCTTGGATTCTATTGCAGTGGGTGGTCTTCAAGTATGCAAGGAAGATTTCTTCCAGAAAGCAGTACACTGTAAATTTATCTGAGATGGAAAAAGAAATTAGATGTGTCAAAACCAATAGGGCATATGAGGCCAAAGAAATAAAAAAATCCTGTATTACACATTATACAGATGTAAATACATTTATTTATACATTCAGATAAATACCTTTGTTTTATACATTATTATCTCTTTGGCAGATGTACTTCAGATGATGGGACGTGCTGGGAGACCACAGTTTGATGACCAAGGAAAAGCTGTAATTCTAGTTCATGACATTAAGAAAGACTTCTACAAAAAATTCCTTTATGAACCTTTCCCAGTGGAATCGAGGTAAAGATAAAGCAATCAGAAAAGCTGCTCAAACTATAAACAATGCTACAAATGACTGATAGAGAAAAGTTAAACAAAATTCCTATGCCAAATATCTCCTAAATAGAGGTCTTAGAGGAAAATATTTTTTTAAAAAATATTATTCATCTTTAGGCAGAAAAAATCTTTCTTCCTTGAGTTTTGAAGCACTGTTGAGCTATTTAGTCCGTTCCCAGATAATACTACAAATGCTTCTCTGCTTCTGAGTGTTGTCTCAGACATTTGAATGAGAGCACAAACTGTTCTTCAAGGCCAGTGTGTAGGACAACTATGCATAATCCTCAGAACCCTCTCTGAAATTCTGTGACAAATCGTTAATAGGAAAAAAAAAATAGGTGAGTTTCTAGCACTTTTTACCTAGAATACTTGTACCATTTTAAATATCACATTCTTCAAAATCTCACAAGTTCAAAAAGAAATCTGCATGGTGTAAACTATTACTAGTATACTTTCAACACCTTTAACTTCAAAATTGCAATATTTTTGTTAGAAATGTAGAAACACCTCTCTGCTGCCTCTCTGAACTTTGTTGATGCAAAGTTTGCTGTCCAGCATAATGTAACTCATGCCTTAGTTTTGATATTCATAATATATTTAGTTGTTCAACGAGAAGCAGAACTAGTTACATCAGTCTTCTATACATGCATGTTATGTGGAGGCATTCTCAGACATCTAATAAAGCATGAGCATCACTGAAAGCTTTTCTCAGTGACGAGGAATTCACAGTATCTTTCTCCTAAGGAAATTTCATCCCTCAACATAAGCGATAATTGGACCTCTATCTAGCCAGGAAATTTGTAGGAGCTTGAGAGTGCTATCCACCTGTGAAATGTAGTTGAAATGGGCTGGTGTATTTGAAGGTTAATTTCTGTGGTGTACAGACAGACATATAATTTTTGCAAACAAAGAATGTGGTGACATGCACTTCATTTCCTTAGGAAACCACATTTTTCTTTTTTTAACATAAAAATTTCATTTAGCACAAAAGGCTAGGAGTTCAACTTCTTCAAAATGATAGCTAGTAAGTCAAAAGAGCATTGTGGTTAAAATGTTCATGATATATCCAGACTGGATGGCACTAGCATAAACTAGGAAATTTCTCAATTCATTGGTAAGTGATGCTTCTAAGTAAAGAAACCATATTTTCCATATAACAGTAGTAATCACACTATGGAATGTGGAATACTATAAATATTCTATGTTTCTAGTAGCTCATTTTGTGTGTATATATTTACTTTGTAGATTGATACATTCTATCTTTTACTATAAACAAAAATATCTGATAAATTTTCAGATGAAGATTCACCTATTAATAGCAATCTCATTAAGTTCTATGTAGGTTGTGATCCAATTAACTTAGAGTTGGTCTCTTTCATGATCAGGTATTTGAAGGAAGAGGTTCCATAGTTTCAAAGAGTAACTGTTTGGGGTTTTTAGGAGGGTTTTTAGTTTTAGAATGCTTTCCCATCTGTTCTGCAAAAGAGCAGATTTATCAGCTTTGTGTAGTATTTCCAATTTGTAAAATTAAATTTCATATTTTTTTAATTAAGGTTTTTTTTACAAAAGCCATTGTCTATGTTTTAGTTGTAAGACTTGAGTACACAACTCTCATGACAGGGCTTGTGCTCTCACTGATCATGGATCTGAAATACAGCATATTAGAAGCAAAAGAAAAAGCACTCTTTATGATGGAATAGCTATTGAATTATCTGTCCAGTTTCTGCTGGACAGTCTGGGTAGAACATCTGCAGTTCTTACCTTTAGAAGCATGCAGTCAGTGGTATAGAGCAGTAAAAACAGCTATTCATATCAAATTATTCTTTACTTTTAGCAATAGTGAAAGAACAGTAGGAAAAGAAAAAGGATTATAATACAAGAAAAACTAGGTTTATCCTTAAGGATATTTGCCATTCCCTAATTGAACTGTAGCTAGACATGATCTCATTAGATGCCCTAATGGAGGTCTTTGTTGCATGTAATGACACTAAACAGTATTTTACTTTGTAAGAATCATTTTGAACTGAGTTTCTTCTGTGTTTCTGAGTTTATTTAGATCTTTCTGGGTAAAAGTAGCTGCTTTTTTTTTTTTCTTTCTTTTTTATATTGGATGAAGATGAGGCAAAATCTGGGGGAAGCAGTTTTGATGTAATTTTAATAGCCCTCAAGTATTTGTCGAGTATTAGCTAAGCTATTGCCACTGTTTCATTTCCTGTTTGTCTTTCCATATGATTCTCTATTGGATTAAACCAGCATGATCATATGGTCAACACACAGCATTCAGAAGTTACCACTGAGTAACTCCATCTGAATACATTCCATGACTTACACTTACACTTGTGCATCCTTGGTCCAATCAAAAAATAATTTTAGCTTCATTCCACTATCATGTAAAGGAGATGACTGACTTTGCAATTACATCCCCCCTTCTTCCCCTCTTCTTTTTTACCAGAAGATAAATATATAATATTTTCAGATTAAAAGTAATAAACCTTTTAATGCACAACTCTACAAAATATATTACCTGTCTTTGTGATTGTAAAGTCAGCTAAGTCCTCTTGTTTTCTGTTCTTCAGCTTGTTAGAAGTGCTGGCTGACCACTTGAATGCTGAAATTGCTGCTGGAACTATTACTTCTAAGCAGGATGCTATGGATTATATTACCTGGACTTATTTCTTCCGTCGACTTATAATGAACCCAACGTGAGTATAAAATACAAATGCAATTTAATCTAAAAGTAACTTGAGGGAAGAGTTGATCCAAAGGTGATCCCGCTGCTTTTGGAGCCCAGAATACTTAGCGGTCTCCAATGTAGGAGCAGTACTGGCCCACACATGGAATAAAACTTGTGTGCACATTTTTTTAATATTTTTTTCTCTAAATATAAATGCATTTCTTGGCAGATAACTTTACAATTTACTGACAACTATAAAATAGCCTTATTGAGAGGGCTACATCAGCATCCCCAAAATAAAACTCCAGATTATCGCATTCCTTTAGGTATTGTATTTATAATGTGTTACTTTTTTTTAGCTACCACATTGATATGTTCTGCCCAGTTTTCTATAGAAAATCTATTAAGACTTGGATTTTCCTAATAAATGAGAGAATAGCTATCAGCTGTTTCTCTGTGATAAAGTTTACTTTCATTAGAGTATCCTGGTGAAACCATGTGTGCAATATTTTCAATGATTGTTATCATCCTGCCTAGCTCCAGCTGGTATGCAGATCATTCTGAGCTGTTCCAGCAATGTAGCCTGCCTTTGCCACAACATTGTTTTGAGTAAATTCTATGTTACCTCTCATGTGATCATTCACCCACCAAAATAATATGGCAAATAAAAAATTAGGCGTTTATAGCACTTAATATTTCTTGATGTACTCCAGAGTGCTGTATTTCTGAAATCATGTTAATGTCCGTAACATTTGGCTAAATTTTCAGCTGGGCTCCTTATGAGCAACTGCTGATGGGAACCTGCAGGTGATAAAATAATTTCCTTTAATTCTTTTTCAGTCTTCCTTAGTTTTGAATTCTGCATCTAGTCCTATGCTGAGAATCTCTCACAAAACAGAATTTACATCTCATCTTCTTGGGAAATAAAAAATGCAGAATGTTAGAACTGTAAACTAAAGAAAACATTAAATTCTCTCACTTCATAACTAACAAATGAATATATTATGTGGAAGGTATTTCTCCCCTGAGAGTGACAAACAGCTAAATTCTGGTTTTCTCTAGGTCAGATGGGGGTAAAGCTATGTTTAGTTGTGTGACTTTGGAATTTACACATTATCCATACTAGAACTTGTGTTAAAAACTAGGTCACTGCAGACACTCTTCTTATTTTAAAATGTCTTGCTCTTGAATTGCTGTGTTGAAGTGATTTTGTTGATTGTCAAGATTTGATCATGTGGTATCTGTAGCGGGTAGATTTTTAAGACACAAAATATAGGCCAAAGGAAGTGAAGAATTTAGAAATGTAGTAATTTGATTTAATAGGAAAGCTCTTCCCAATATAAAGGAAGGTTCCCACTGGAGTATGAGGTTGGCAAGTTTACTGACAGTCCTTTTTTCTCAGCAGTTTCTTTAATGTGCAGTGTCATGGAAAGCTAAATCTCAAGTTATCACAATATCAACTTTTAAGCAAAAGTTCTGCTATAATGAGAGGATTGTGGGAAGAAAGTTAGGGGAAAAAAAAAGAAAAAAAACCTCATTCTGTATTTCATAGTGAGTTGCAGAGGTTTTGTCGTGAGAAACAAGATGAACAGATCTTGACTAACCATGTCCATAATGGCAAGATAGGAATACATATTGAAGTTTCTAATGAAACTGGAGTCTTTCATTGGAACGCCACACATGCAGGTTGGAGCAGTTCACAAGTTGTGCTGCGTTACCCCCTGTCTCATCCACAGAGAGGTACTCAGCGTTCCTTCTGTACTTGGTCATGCTGGGAGAAAAATAAAGGACATTATTGACTGTGTCAAAGAGGTCACTTCTAGATACCAACTGCAAATGCAATGGACGTGCACACTTTCCATTCTTTGGCATGATAATAAATTCTCCTAAGTTTCATCCGAAGTTACTAAACTGTGCAGTTAGTAGAGTTCCTGGACCTACTGTCTGTGGTATTTTCAGACCTCCTGCAAGCCAAGCAGTTCCAGCGTGGTCTGTGTTTGAGTAAGATACATCAAAGGAAAACTGAAGAGTTTTATGAAGATAAGTCAGTGATAGTTGAGATAACTTTGAATAAATTTCCATATAGTAATGGAGTTTACTGCACCATAGATGAGCATATGGAAGAATTGATATTACCAAACAAGAACAATCCAAAATTTTTAGGTGTTATTTTTTTCAGAGGAGTAGGAGCACAGTGGCTGAATTTTGGTTTGGGTAGTTCCACAATACCTACTTAGTGTCATTTGATACAGTGTTCTTTATCATGTCCTGCCCCAAAGCAATTTTGTTGACTTTCTCTCCACTGTGAAACAAGAACTATTTTCCAGACAGCAGGTGATTGTACCTTAGAGGTGAATAAGTAATTCCCATATGCATGATTGGCAAATTGCCTTGGGATTCATTGGCGTAAAAGTCATTGCATGTGATGCTGTAAATCCCCAAAATAATGGGCTTAGATAATATGCAGAAGATTTATATTCTCCTTGCCAGTTTTAGCTACTTGTATATTAAAGCTGCATAAACAAATCTAGGATCATTCTATTCTAATCCAGTATCATAAAATGCTTTACTGAATGCCTACAATTTGTACTATTTAAGTAATGTTAATCTGCCTTTGTTATAAGATAGAGATCAAAGTATCCTTTTTGCTCTAAGTATCCAGGTTTCTTCTAAATATGCAGTCATTATGAAAGTTTTTATGGCACACTTGAGATAATTTGTTAGACTTGTAATAAGGTCCTTTTTAATGGTGGAGTTGAAAATCTTTGCATGTTGCAATACTTCTTCTCATCAAGCCATTTTAATTTTCTTGTTTGATGAACCCCCATATCTTGAAATCTGGTTGGTTTTGGGTTTTTTTTTCTGTCAGTGTTTTAACTGTCTAGTTATTGAGCTGTTGATTTGAGGAAGTGGAATAGCTGAGTGCTAGTTTTGTTCAGAGGTATACTGACTAGTCATGTGCATGTTGTTCAAGAGATGATGTGCAAATGGGAGAGGCGGTCGAAGTAAAACTGTTTATCAAAGTGTATCACTCTCAATATCCAGAGTTTCCTCCCTGTTCTTTCCCTCCCCCAAAACAATTATTCCTAAACATGGAGGTTTTTGAATTTGCACGTTAAGTCAGTTTCTGTGCTACTTCAATCAAGTACTACAACATGCTCTCCTTTACACATACAATTTTAGTTGATATGTTCTTTACTTAGTCAAGATCATACGAGACAGATCAGTGAAGGGATCTTCTTTGAAAGAGGCTATTTTGAGAGGATCATCTGTCTCCTTTCCTTGGCTGAAATTCCTTGTCTATTTCATTCTTTGACCGTTATAAAAGATTATAATCTGCAACTTTTTACAAAAGAGAAATGGCTATGGGAAGCATTTTCTGTAAATCAGGTTATGATATTTTCCAGATACGTGTGCAGTAAAAGAGAAATAGAAATTTACAATATATGTAAACTTAAGCAGAATCAGCTTTCATTTGGAAAGTTAATTTTTAGATATTCTGAGAGCACAGATCACATCACTGTTAAAATGTGTGAGGTTTTTTATGTATTTATAAATATATACAGAGTGTGTGTGTGTATACATAAACACTTATAAAATCAGTTTTCTGTGTAAATTCCTTGTGAAGACCTGAAAAAATTGTTTTATTAATTCATTCTAAGAATTATTATTATTTTAACTTTATGTCAGTCTTACAAAGTTTTCTGGAGTGAAAGAATAATGTAGCATAAATTATAATTAAATTATCTCAACTGATGCTCTTATCATCACACACTTATATTTTACTTAAAATTTCCTTTTCTCGATATAATTAGCTGATTATATCTAATAAAACATCTGAATAAAAATTATGATTGTATAATGTTCCAATATAGTTTCTGGTATTGAGGTGACAGCTAATATCAGCTAGTCAGGATATAATGTATTTTGTACGTGTATTTCAGTGACAGAATCACAGTTATTCAGAATTTTAGGGCTTTTTTGGAATTGCATCAGAAGGGGGAATTACTGAAGAAAGTTAAATTAACTAACATAAAATAGAAAAGTTTGGCAGTAGCTACTAAGAACAGAAGCTTAAAAGGTGAAGGTATGTTGCACTGCAGTAATTACCAATATCCATATTTTGAGCTGGTAAACAGTTATTTCTTAGGGTGGATTCTTTCTTTTACAGTCACATTTAGATCTGTGTGCATGTGTATATACTTAATAAATAACAGTTATAAGCGTTATTTTGAATTTCATAACAGGAGCTTGTTCTTTTAAATTATTAGGGTCACAGTGATGTGAAAAGTACAGGAATGTAGTTCATGGAGTGCTCTTACCAAACTATTCACACAAATAAAGTTTTTTTGATTCTCTCAGACTGGGAAGCCCCAGGCTGCTGAGTTTGAGCCGCCTCCTGTTCCCCAGCTTGCTCCAGTCTTAGGTGAGAATGCAAAGCTGAGGACCTTGTATCTCCCTATTCAGAAAGCAAATTCACATAATTTTCTTCCTACTCTTGGATATGACTTACCTGTACAAATTATCTGTTGGAATATATAACAGGAAAAAGAAATGCCCAATCAATATGTAAGCAAATTTACATGTGCCTGTTACCTCTGATTCCTCACCTTATGAACACATCTTAGGTTAGGTACCTTACAAGGTAAACTTTCTTGTAAATACTTTAATTAGAGCACTGATGTGGAGGCAAATACCTTGCTGATGTCAGAGAAACTGGACTCTTTTTTTTTTATTAATCTTTTTAAATAACCACAATTTACAACATACTAAAACTGATTCAAGGTAGCAGTGTAGCTGTTTCTTATACCTGGCATAAGCAAATGTATTAATGCCAGAAAATAAGATGCAAGTAAAACACAGATAGAGATTACTGTCTGCAGCACTTGTGCATGCTGTAATGCATTTTAGCAAGCCAGTCACGGACTCCAGAGTCAGTCAGTGATGCCTTAACAACAGAAGTGAGTTGGTACATTGGTTCATAGCTCTCTGGCTATGAAGGTCCATCAATTGAGCCATATACTCAGTATCATTTCCATGGTACCATTTGAAGATGGCAGCTGCTGAAGGCTGCAAGCTGATGAAAGTAAACACAGTTGATGACTGCAGTAAAGCGGTTTACCAAAATGACTCCCTGTGCGTCCCCCATACTTCCTCATAACAAAATTCTGCTTTCAGGACTGTAAAATCTCAGAAAGCACACTTTCTTGCTATCAGGCGAATACTGTAGATTCATCTTTTTTGAGCATTTGTTTCAAAAGTCTTCCAGCTAGCAAGTTTTTTCTTGTAATATTTTGGCTGACTCTGCCCCTGATTTTCATTATTTGTGTCACTATTACTACCGTATAATCTGAACATAAAAAACATGGTGCTGTAACAAATGACTTCACAGCATTGACAGTTATAGCAGGACCATTTCAAGGCTGATGAAAAATTTCCCAGAGAGATCTCAGGTCAGGTTTACATAAGCTAAACAGGAAATGATTGCCACCATTCACATTAAATTCTAAATGTTTTGTGTAACTTCATCTACATTTTATGTTCCTGCACGTCTTTCTGTCTTTCTCAGCTGATGAAATTCCACACTTTCTTAGATTAGAGAAATAAGTTCATGTTTCACCGTTTGTTGTTCTTGCTAAACTGTACAAGGTTTGGGATTTAAAATATATTATTTAAAAGATAACAAAAACTTCGCAGTTTTTGATTGTTTAAATTGTACATACTTTGTAAATTTTTATGATACCTAGGGGTTTGTTATTGCTTTTTCCCAATGGACTACTAATGGAAGTTAGCCTGTCTAGCCCATGTGCTAGATGCTGTTAGGATAAAACTGCCTTTGACTTTCACACCTCTCAGGGGACGAGTAATTGTTGTGTTCAAACAGCCTGTAATTGTGATCCCGCTGGCTTTCTCAGTACGCTTCTGGCTATTAGAATCATTAAACAACTCAGCACCTGTTAACAGCATTGTAAATATTCAACCCTGCTTGTGTGCAGGTTGAGTCCAATATAGGAGAAGGCTTACAGAGCCCAGCCTCATAAATTAGAGCTTCTGACAAGTCAATTATTGTGAAACTGGGCTTCACTGTGAAATAAATGAAATGGTGTGCTGATAAAAAGGTAGGCTGTCTGTTTATAGCAAAGGGAAAATAATGACTAGATGATTCAATGCAGTGAGCATGAAACTGCATTGTTTTTATTCTTTATCTGTAATTAAATAGTTAGGTAATATAGCTTCATAGAGGAACTCACATATGATGCAGTTTTTATACTTGGAGCATACCAACATGCAAAATTCAACTTGCATTTATGCCTGCGCATTCAAAATACTGTCTAATGTCATCATACCTCTGTTTTCACTAATGATTTTAACATAGTCTTTCTAGATGAATGGCTTCGCTTTTTATTAGGGGAAAATATGCTGAGTGACCAAGAAGCTCCTGTGGGTGTGCTCAAAATTATATTTACCCCATTATAGATAGTAGTTAAAACACACTGGTACCACTTCACTCAAGATTACAACCATTTAAGATTTTTCTTTACATTGTTTCATTTGCAGCAGGCAGTTAGATATTTACTCTTCTCACAAAAAACTACCAAAAATCTGAAAATTTAAAATTCACATAATGTTTAAAAGGCATTATAACGCCTTTATGATTACAACTTCAGTGTGAAATACTGCAAATTAGGCAGTGCCCAAGATAAAATCTGCTTGAATTAGTGTCTCAAAAAATAATTTCAGTGTATCGCCCATATCTGTTCCTTTGTTTTACCAGTATTCATCATCAGTGTTGTGGTACTGCAAATAACAGTGCTGAAATGATGCGGTGAAAGTCTGACAACTGTGACAACAAAGTGCTTTAATTATTATCATTTCAGTAATGTTAAATTCAATTTAGAGAGAAATCTTAATGAATCATTAGTGGTTTAGATGTAGAAAATAGAAAATCTTTTCACATCCTTAAATAACTTGTGTAGTTAATTTGCTCAGTTATTTTCAGAAGGTAAACAAAATGTTATAAAATAATTTCTGCTAATAAACAAATTCTAAATTTTTTCAGTGATAGGTTGTCAGGCAGATAAAAGGTGCAGATAGAAATATTGATCATTTTTTATCATTACTATATTACTTCAGTAAATTTAAAAGGAGACAGTCATGAAAATTAAGTTGCATTGAAAACAGTGTTAGAGTACTTTTGCTACAAATAAGTTTTACTTGCATAAGGCTGATAATGTGTGGCTGTCTACTGTATAAAACTTTTTAGTCAATATAATTATGTATTTGTTGGGGTTTTTTTTCCCTTAGGCCATAGCTGTGTTTTAAATATTTGAGATCATCTCAATGTGAACCTATATCAAATATCACGGAGTTGAATACTCCACTGCCATATATATACACTTTGTTATTGTCTAATGTAACTGACTGCTTCCTGGTATCAGAACAGATTTTTTTAATCTTTTTCTTATGGCAGTAGTGTTTTACTTCAACTTTGCCTGATTACAAGTGAACAATCAAAGCATCAGAGAATTAACCCCATAATTTGGGATTAATAACAAGGGAAAAAATCTGGAAATGAATGTACCACTATTTAGCATGCAGACTTTTTTCAGTTATGCTATTGCTACTCAAAAGATAAATGTCAAAAACTCTGTTTAAGAAAATAATAATGCAAATCAGATTCTGTTAATAAAACAGTTGGAAGGATGCTTGTAGTATATAAAAATGCAAGTCCATCTTTTGAAATTTGCTAACCACAGCATTACAGTAAGTGAAATAGAGCTTAAATCAGAGAATAGGATTAATCTGCCCAAATATAGCAGCAACAACTGAAGTGATTGTGTAAAGTTTTTTTTTTTTAGTCAGCAATTACATTAAATACTTCAGATGAATAGCATTCTGCAAGTGCACATTTCTCTCCATTGGTAGTAAAGGGAGTTAAAAAAGACTAACTCAGGTATAGCTGCAACTATGTAAAATCAGCTAAAATGAATCTCGGCATACTGTTTTGCAGCCAGTTGTTCACCTGCACAAGATAACACTGAAAGAACCTACTCTCCGTTACAGCATGTGGTATTGTTTCCAGTGGGGATGCCGAGTACATCGTAACAGTGGGAAATTTTAGTCAAGCAGCTTGTATGAACAAAAGAGCATCTTTTACCATTGCAGCAATCTCAGTAGTCTGTTTCTGTGACAGTATTTTACAGAATTAAATGAGCAGGGACAACCTTTCTTACTGTGCTTTTTAACATTTCAGTAAATCATCAAATTTTTAGTTTGTTTGAATTCCACTTTGAAATTTAATTATTTAATTGCTCTACTTAAATTAAGAATTTTTAAACTTTCTGAGCATGCTCAGTTTTTCTTTACTGCTCAATGAACTCGTTACTTTCTGAACTGGTGCCTTTCTTGAATCTAGGACACAGGTTCTTACTACATTTTTATCTGAAGTTTTCTAGGTAAAGCTCTCCTTGAAATTACTTTAGTTTGTGTGAGTAAGAATCTTATAATACAGCTTAAGTTCTACAGTTAAAGAGTGCAAATTTCAGTCACTGGGTCTTCTTTATATGCTGGCATAACAATATGTTTTGGTACACTTTATAAACATTTTTCCTTCATAGAGATAACTAAGAACCATTGTTTACCTAAGCAATTTTACTTGAAAATGAACAAGTGAAGTAACCACATTGACAAATACCCTATTCCTTTTTTTATCAATTCAACTTTCAGAATAAAATGACACAGAAGTCTAAAAACAAACACCAACATTTGGATTGGTGTAGGGTTACTTTTTCAAGAGATGTCACTATATGCCTAGGTTTTATTTTCAGAGTTCCAGGGTGTAAGAACAGTTGCTATCCTTGGTGAATTTTCTTCCTTTTTCTTGAAGTTAAAATACTGTTACTTGTGTTAGTGTTGCTTGTTCACTTTCATACTTATATAATCAGGAAAATACACTTATGCAATCAGGAAAATTTTCCCACTAACAAAATATAGCCAGTCCGGTTCTGTTTGTATCAACCTTCCTATTAATAGATAGATAAATTACCATCTTTCCATATGTACATTCTTATATTATGTTGATTACTCCCACAAACTATTTAAGAATAATGAATTTATTGTTAGACTTCATAAGGGAATAGTTCTTTGTTTGATTCTTCAATGTCAGTATTTGCTGTTCCAGGTATGTGTGTGTATTATAGCAGCCTTGTTAGTTTTCTTGCAAGATGTTATGGTTAAAAATCTTCAGAGTGTAAAAAGTACTCACGTAATGCATCTGTTTTCAATTTATCTAGTTACTATAACTTGGAAGATGTGAGCCATGACACTATGAATAAGTACCTCTCAAGCCTTGTTGAGAAATCTCTCTTTGATTTGGAATGCTCCTACTGTATTGAAATTGGGGAGGTAAGACTAATCTGTGCTTTACAAGGTTTAGTAAGATATATGCACTTAAACGTTAGGAACAGCAAGATACATACATGCTCCTGATTTGAGATGTTGTCTATGGAGCTATTGGTAAGACTTAGGTTGCAAACTGAGCTCAATTGGGGTTGCAGCTAAATTATGACGCTAAATCATTTTTGCTGTTCTCTCTTATAAAGTAGGCATTAAAATATTTTACAGTTTTGTAGGAACCATTTATATTGAACCATGTAGGAACCATGTACATTTGATTCCTCTTCTAACAGGATAATCGCAGCATTGAACCTCTGACATACGGCCGCATTGCTTCCTATTACTATTTGAAACATCCGACCATTGGCATGTTCAAAGATCAGTTGAAACCTGAAAGCAACATTGAAGAATTGCTCTTAATTCTGACAGTAAGTGCTGGTATTTTTGTAACTTCAACACATGTAACTCGTGACTCTTAAAGACACTTACAAATGTATGAAAAAACACCTGAAAATTAACAAAAGCTTTTCTTCCCTGATCTGTAATTTCATTTTTTGTTGTTTTGAGTAATATACCTGAATCATTTTTGATGTTTCAAGTGTTTCATTTAATCTATACATCAGAATTACTGTTTACACCTGTTTCTCTCCTTATGTCCCTTTATCATGTGCAGGACCTATACAACTCTGATACATGTTTTTTTCTAAGTAAATTAGGTATAATACTAAAATACTAGAATAAGAACTGCAAACCAACATCCTAAATCTGTACAAGGGACACTACTTTGCACTGGGACAATCTGGAAGATACAACATCTTTAAGAAGTGAGGGAGACATATGGGGAAGACCTGTGTGCTAAAATGCCTTCTTTTCCTTCTCCCAGCCATCTCACAGTCCCTGAGGTCATAACCTGCAATAATGCCAGTTCGTTGTTAGTCTAGTGACTGTTTAGTAGAGAAGTGCAATGCAAGGCAAATGATTTTAGGGTACAAATCTAGAGACATGCTGTACAATGCAGCATCACAGTATTACATTCTCACCATAAAAGAATCCTTTTACTCCATTTTCCTTTTTAAGTACTCAAGTAGATATATCTACAAAATCTTTTTCAAAATAGTTTAACTCCACTTATACACAGATATTTGAAATAATAAGTGCATGAATATTATCCAGGAAAACTTATTTCAGCCCACTTATGTTCATAGTCTCTGCTCTTTTATATACGTCATTCAAGTGGCCCAAATTCGTTAATATTCCGACTTCCAAGTGTTAACTTAAAAATCTAGATTTCTATCTTACAGTATTTATAAATGTTACTTCTGTGTTCACTATTGTTTTGGCACGCTGACAAAATTTCTCTGAGGAGAAATGCAAGAAGAAAAATAAAAATAGTGCTATTTGACAGTCTGCATCTCAACAAAACCTAATCAGCATTTTATGACACTAGGAAAGCCACTTTTCTAGCACAGAGACTTTCTTTTTGATAAATTTAAATCACCTACTGCAAACATTCAGAGTGTTATAGCTCAGAAATAAAGGCGATAGTAATCTTTTATAATGGAAAGTGTTAGACAGCCTAAACAGGGGAATTGCTATCACTGACCTTGCAATATCTGTTGTTCTCTTGTCAGAAAACATTGCAAATTATATGAAATGAAATTCAGTGTATTTGGCTGAATTCAAAATGGTAATCAAACACAATTCCCATATATGCTGTATGTAAAATAACTGACATTTTTAAAAGAAATTTAACAGAAGTTAAATAATATAAAGTTGAGTATTCAAGGTGAGAGCTTTCCTGCACCTGCTGTCTCTTCAAAATCTTTTCTTCTCTCTAGAGAAAATTTTCTCTGCCTAGAAACTTTTGAATTTTTTTTCAGACAGATTTGGACAGGGAAATTTCGAGAATAGCATTAGTAGCGATGGGGACAATTAATGACACTGCCTAAGCTAGTGAGCAGCATATGGAAGATGAATGATGTGAAGCAGATCCTAGCGCTGTCCATCTTATGTCAGGGCTTCTCATCTATTTAAACAGCTTGGATCTATAAAGTGCAAAGGTAAATGGCAAATATTGCTGTTGTAGATAAAACACAGGATGCTACTGTTGGGAAGAGATTGTAAAATTTAAAATTCATTAATCTTTAATTCTTTCTAATTTTATTTATTTTTTTTTCTGGAAAGATAGTCTTGGAAGTTTTCCATTTACAGTCTTAAGAGTAATAAGACTAAAAATAAAATCAGTTAGGGGTCAAAATGTGCCATGTGTCAATTTGAAAGATGAAAAGTATATACAAATGCTGGATGCCATTATAGCTGACAATTTTCCTTACTTTTTCTGCAGATGTTTTTTATAATTACTAGTGGAATTATTATTCTGCCTTGTTGAAGGTGTAAATTAAAAGGGTTTTTTTCAGTCTGATGTAGTATTGAAAAGACTTGCCATTTCAACTGAGTTATTGCCAAGGATTTTTTTTTTCCCCCTAAACACTGTGAATTAATGAGTTTTATAATTACGGCAGTTGCTTCACACCTCTATTGTTAACCAATGACATTACATCTGCCTTGCTCCGCTGGTGCCCTCCTCCTTCTTATTGAAGCATTTAGCAGTTTTGGCAATGGGGAATTACATGGCATGGGGTAAGTAGTCTAATTAGGTATAAGTGAAAATCCTGAGGGAAAAGGATATTTAAAAAGTGATTTGAAGAATCTCTTAATGATGCTGGAACTGAAAGCTGTAGCTACAGTAGAAAAAGGCCTGTTATCATTGCAAAACATAATTATAATTATGATCATTCTGCTGATCACTCAATTTTTAAATTTTTAAATTTTGGACTGTGTTATTTAAGAATAACCATTCAAAACATTTCTCAAAAGCAGTTGCAGGATTTTGTAAATGTGACATGTGGGTTTGGTTTGGGGGTTTTTTTGTTGTTTTTTGATGGCATTGTTCATAATCTCGCAAACCTTTAATCATTTACAAGTTGTCTGATGTATATAAGGAAGGCAGAAGTGTATAATTGTAACAAAGAAAATACTGATGTGGGTTTGAAATGGGATATATACAAGTTTTTACCAAATTGTCAATATATAACTCGAAAAGAAGCAAAAGTTTGTTTAAAACAAAACCAGGAAAAAGCAAGATTGCATTCAAAAATTCAGAAATTCATGATCATATTAAGGGTTTTAAATCTGAGTTTGATTAAGGGATTTTGAGTTTCAGATTGATATTTTGCCATGCTGATGGGAGTGTTCAGAATTTAGGATTATTCACTGATTAATTATCCATGAATCTTTGCAACTCATGTGAAAAAGTAGTTCTGAGTCATCCTGTTTCTAGTGCTGATGGTTCTCTCAACAAAGTCAATTGACAGCAACATTTGTTTCCGCTTAGTAGTCAAGACCATTGATAGTCTTCTCCAATATCTGTTCTTTTCTCTTTATCTTTTTATTTTATCTTTTAATTTTATCATCTGCTAGTATTTTGCAAGATCAGATTAAATCTTTTTTTTAGTATGGTTTAGGGGTTGAAGTATCCATAACATGAAGAGGAACATGGAACATGGTAACAGCCCTGCAGTCATGTTGAAAGTATACAGTAATAAGTGATACAAATAGGTGGAGTAGTACAATCCCCTCACGCTTTCCCTTCTCCTCTCAGTAAATCTGTGCTCAAGGCATTTAATCTGTCTTGAGTTTGCAGTTAGCAGGCGAAGTTCAGATTCAGTTACTTTTGTAACTGACTTGTGCTAGTGGACCTGTAATTTTTCTGAGAGAAAATGTTTGATGCTTTTCCATAGAGCTTTCTTTAAAACTTTCCTAACCGTGCTTCAGAGAGTAGTAATCCAAATGAGCTTAATCACTGTTGAGTTATAGTGCTTCTTGCATTAAGTATTATTGATGAGAAAGTGTTCATGAATTATTACTAACAGGCTGGATTTCCCTGAGGTACCTAAAGACTGTTTCCTTTTATTCTGAAACTTAGGTGCAGAGATTAGAAGAGAGGTCTGTGTAAAAAAATCAGCAGTCACTACAAATCTTTTTGAAATCAAATGTAGGTTTGTTGTACCTTGAGGAAAGGAGGTCTGTCTTGATGGTTGATCAGGACTGTGATGGCTAGATCCGCTAGCTTCATGATTTTTGGTGATTTGTTACTACGCATATCTGGTTATCTGGTTAATTTCTTATTTACAGAGCAAATAGTTTGTTATATCTGTTCATACCATACAGTGAAGGGGAGAACCCTCTTTCAGCCCTTGTTTTATCTGTACATTGTCTCTTATTTGTGGTTTTGAATTCTACTTACAGGAGAGAACTGGTTGGTTTTCTTGTGCCTACTGCTGTCTTTCGTATAAACTGGTTATAAAAGATGGGTTTCTTTCTAACTGGGGAGCTTAAGGACAGAACAGCATGGTGTTTGTGTTATAGTGAGGCATAAATATCCATCTTACTGGGATATAAACGTGGACTTCTAAGTCTGGATTCCACATACCTCTTCCCTATATTTCCATCTAAGAATTGACCTGGTTTTGCTACACTGGCTTGTATTAGACTAAGTATTTTGGAACTCAGCAGAAAATCTGGCATTGCTGGAGTAGCACATTTGGAAGATAGAAAGAGGACTTTCATGAAACAGGCGTTCGCCATCCCAGATACATAGATAATGCCTTGATCTATTTTTCATTATCTGTTAGGTATTTGTATTTTGAGATTCTAAGTAACTCAGTTAACCTATGGCTTTATTTTCTGCTCTTCGTCACTGGCACATCCTATTCTAACCAGGAAAATATGCAAGTTTTTCTGAATATTTACACACTCTAAAATAATTTTCTTTCCTTAGCATGATGCTATCTTAAAGCTGTTGGTTCAGTCTTCCCTGAAGGGGACACAAAGCTTTTTGCCTCAGTGATAAACCATTTTTTCCACTGGTCTCCAGTTAGATGCCAACGAAGGAGGAATTAATAAGTTACAAAAACATTGTCCAAGAACAAGCTAATGTGAGCTGTTCTGTATAACATTTTATCTGCAAGCCATTTCAGAAACATTACTTTTGCAGTTTTTTAATATATTATATAAAACTAGTTTTCTGTTCTATGAGCCATTTCAGAAAAAAAAACAGATCACTCTTCCAAAGTCAGTCATTTTCTAGTTTAAATTTACATTTCATTTAGAAGGAAATAAAGGTGCTACTATTATTTTCTTCAAGGCATAAAAATACAGCAAGACCATATTTATTATGTTATTCTTTTTAAATATGGCATTTCAATGTCAAGAGTAGAAATACTTTATTACATAAACTTTATATAAAATGAAAAGCAATTATGTTACATGCTAACTTTAAAGAACTTAGATATTTAATTTTACATATATCGTGCATTCTCAACAATATGAACATGACTGCTGTGGCCACTCTACAAATAGGAACAGG